CCTCGAGGTCCGTGTCGCATCCTGAGAAGTTTGCTGGAACCTCCTGTCCTTTAACTCTGCCTTGGTAAGTGGTATCTATTTATTTTATTGGACTTTATTAATCCCCATGGGGAAATTAATGATCTGCATCTTTCCCATTGCACATGTGAAGCAGTGGACTGCTGGGGAGCAGCTGGGGGGGGGGGGGGGAAGGCCTTGCTCATGAGCCCAGAGTGTGGCAAATGAGGGTGGAGGCAGGTGAGGGTGTTTCACCTTTTCCACCCACATTTTGATGTTGTTGGTCTGGGGAGTTGAACCGGCGACCCTCCAATCACAGGCCCACCTTCTCTAACCTCTGTGTCACCACTCCCCCGAGCAATGTGTTTGTGTCAGAATACCACATTTATACCACATATACCACCAAATCCCCATTGATATTCACTTTATACTGTTCATTGTGACTTATATATAAATATATATATATACTTCACCACTTGCTCTCGCCGAGATCGGATGCTTCTCCCCTCCCTCTCCACTTTGCTGCTCTGTCTGTGAAACTGCTTCTGGGCCTCTCTTGCATCTTCCAAACCATAATTATGAACTTGTTTTGATCAGTTGGTCCCTCAACGCAATTGATAACATTTCTTTGAAGAGAAGACAGGGTTTAAGCGAGCCAATTTGCCCTGTTGGCACGCACGCAGCTGGATATCTCATCAACTTGAAGGCTTGATGATGCATCTATCTCTGCTGCCATCTGTGGATTTTAAGGACGCATATTTAATTGGATTTTCAATAACTGGTTCCTGCTTTTTAGGATTCAGCTGGTTGCTGGTTTTATCTACAATCAAGGAAGTCGTCAGCAGCAAATTTGGACCCGATCTCGCTGCTTGCCTTTATGATGGCTTGGTTCGTGCCTCGAGTACCCAGACTCAAATGCCTTGGGCAGAATGGATCAGATCTTGGGAATTTTACTCAGTCATGTTCCATCGGTGTGGCCATGTAATTTGGACATTTCAGAACCGAGTGGACCAACACAGACTCAAGGTAGATGTCATTGAGTTCTGCCTGCCCCCAAAACAACTGTGTGTTTATCTGAATTTGGCTCCCCTGGCTGGCCTTGAAGGTCATCTTATCTGAATTCACCTGGAGAACATGAGATCTGACGCTCACCACCCCCTCCCTGAGGAATTTCCAACTGATAACCAGATGAAACCAGCTGAATAAACTTTGTGTCATCATTTCAGGACTCTTGGATTCTCATAGACATTATTCTTGGCCATTCCTCAACATCCTTCAAGAATGTTTATGGATCTCACCGGAGGACATTGACTGATTATTACATCCTTATCAGAACTCTTACAGTGACCTCGAGAGCGTCTATGAACATTGCTGACCGCGCTTGTCGTCTCCCCCGTCTGCAGATTGTCTACATAAATATGTGCTTGTTTGTGCGAGGCAGGGTTTTTTAATATTAGAGGGTTTTTTCTCAGGCCGGAAAAAAAAAAGTCTGATAGGAATTTTTTTTCACCTCCAACTCCTACATGTGTCCAGTTAACCACTGGTTTTGTCTGTCCAAACAGGTCTCACTTGTAAATGAGTTCTCGTGGCTCAATGAGACTACCTGGATAAATAAAGTCTAAATGGAAAAAAAAAATCTGTTTAAATAAAGGTTGAATGAATGAATGAATGAATGAATGAATGAATGAATGAATGAATGAATGAATGAATGAACATGCAGACCCTTTCCAAAAAATTAGAATATCATGTAAAAGTTGTTTAACTTCCATAATTCCATTCAAAAAGTTAATATTTAATAGATGACAGATTCAGGGCACACAATTTAAACAATTTCAAGTATTTATTTGTTTATTTTTACATAATTTGGGCTTCCAGCTCATGAAACCCATGAAAACAGGATTTCAATAAATTAGAATACTGTGATGAAATCATCCCAAATGTCGCAGGACGTGAATGTTTTAAACTGAGTGTGACACTAATCATCTACTAAACTCAAAGCACCTGCACAGGTTTCCCCAGGTGTCATTAACTTGTCTCAGTTCTGTTCAATATGGGGAAGACTGCAGACAGAACATCTGTCCAGAAGACCATCATTGAGACCCTCCATAGGATGGGTAAGACACAAAAGTTCATAGCTAAGGAGGCTGGCTGTTCATAGAGCGCTGTGTCCAAGCACATCAATGGAAAGTCTAGTGGAAGGACAACATGTGGCAGGAGAAGATGCACCAGCAACAGAGATGACCGTGGGCTTCAGTGGATTATCAAACAGAGAAGATCCAGAATCTGTCAGAGATCCAGAAAGAGTGGAATAAGGCGGGAGTCACAGCTTCAAAAACCACCACATTCAGACTCATCCAGGAGATGGGCTACAACTGTTGGGTTCCTCGGTCCTCTTTTCAGATGAAAGTAAAGTGTCTTTCATTCAGAAATCAAGGTCCAAGGGTTTGGAGGTAGAAGAGTGAAGAACAGAACCCATACTGGTTGAGGTCCAGTATAAAATATCCACAGTCAGTCATGATCTGGGGTGCAATGTCCGGTGCAGGTGTTGGTAAACTCTGCTTTCTTCAATCCAAGGTCACTGCAACAGTCTACCAGAATGTTTTAGAGGACTTCATGATTCCTTCTGCTGAGGATCTGTATGGAGATGCAGAGTTCATCTTCCAGCAGGACCTGGTCCCTGCCCATGCTGCCAGAAGCACCAGAACCTGGTTTGATGCCCCAGCTTGACTGGCCAGCCAACTGGTCGGACCTTAACCCCATTGAGAATCTGAGGAACATGAGGAGCACCAGAGCAACAACAAAGAAGATCTGACAGCATGAAGGAAATCTGGGCTTCCATAACTCCCAGTCAATGACACAGGCTGATTGTCTCAATTCCATAACTCCCAGTCAATGCCACAGGCTGACTGTCTCAATTCCATAACTCCCAGTCAATGCCACAGGCTGATTGTCTCAATTCCATAACTCCCAGTCAATGCCACAGGCTGACTGTCTCAATTCCATAACTCCCAGTCAATGCCACAGGCTGACTGTCTCAATTCCATAACTCCCAGTCAATGCCACAGGCTGATTGTCTC